ATCAATTTTATTGGCTCTATGTCACGTGACTGCACACGGCTTTAGACGACCCCCAAAATTAGGTAATTCCATAAAAGAATAACAAGGTTAACGATTTTTTTCGTAAACTTTAAATTTAATACTGTTGTAAATTTAAAGGCCAATATATCTGTATATACGATATTTGTTGTCATTTAATTGCATTTTTTGTATTACGACTACGTATTAGGGGGTTTCAAAATTAAAATTAGAGAATCTTATTTTATTTTTCGGATTTATAATTCAACATAATAAAAATGCTATTGAAAAAAAATCCTACTTATTTTCCAAAAGCGTCACTTATTTGTTAATTTTGAAACCTCCTATTGTTATTACTACTTTACGTGGGATTTTTTTATTGGATTCTATTGATTGATATTGGATCAAAGATGAAATTGCGTCAGGAATCCACATTTTACTATACTAAATAAACCATACTCATCATTCACTATGAAATAAATTTCGTGTTGGATGGTTTACACTATATTCAATTACTTTAAAATTAATTTAGCTAGTCTAGTAAATAATAAACACTTAGTATTTCATGATATCTATCATTTAACTAAAATAGGGAATTTCCACATTAAATCAAACGCCTGCACATTTTATTTATCTTATGATAACGGCGTAAATATAATTCAAAATGTTGGGTTGGGATTGATTCTTTAGAAATATGTTTGTTTGATTATATTAATGAATTTAAAATAATCTCTTATATAGTAATTTCTATAATGGCCACTTGGAAACCTGTAAATATTAGTTGTCCAGTTAAAGGGTCCTGGAAAGAAATGGGAAATTCCAATTTAATATAATTATAATTTTAGTTTATCGATGCGCTCCATCAAACCAAAATTTTTTTCTGCTCTAATTTAAGTAAATTCAAACGGATTTAAAAATAAATTATTCCTTGAGAAACAAGTTTTTAAAATGGTAAATGCCTTATTAAGATTAAATTAAAGTAAATAAAATAAAGTAGTATTTAATAGACCTTTTAACAGAAGATTAGAGATTTTTTTATATTTTATCTTTTTTTTTGCTCCTGCCTTCTAAATTTACCTTTTTATTTTTTTTTGCAAAAACATGGATAATTTATGTAAAGATATAAAATTTTTTATCACAACACCAGAAATAGTGTCGAAGAAGAGAAACCTTGATGAAGAATTTAAACGCAAGCAATCTTCCGACTTAACCATGAATATGATAATTCAAGGAGGTACAGCTTTAGAAGCTAAACCTCAAAATAAAATATTTATAAATGAATCATCAGGTACAATTATTAGAAGAGAAGAAAAAAACAGTCAGAACCGTGAATTACGACGTTCCGCATCTTTGTCTGTTGAAACCCAATCTACACCTAGGTCTAAACAGTCAAATTCAGCATCGCCTAATACAGCAACTAGTGCTTATTCAAATGCGATTTCCAGTTCATCAAATATAACAAACGGAAATATATTCTCAAGCCAACTTACTAGAGAGCCTGAAACGTATGAAGAACATATCAACAATCTTGCTGAGGAATGGGCTAGTGTACTATTAGATGGATCCAATTATCCAACTAGTACGTATTTGGTTAAAATACTTTGCACAAAGTTTTTTTCCTATGTTACTAATTTTTAAAATTATTGTTATGTGTTTATAATAACGTTGATCAAGGTTCTGATCAAGAAATTTTTGATCAAGAGAATGATACTACAAATTTATGCTGCTGTTCATCAAATTCCAAGATTATTACTGAATTATATACATCAAGCACATCATATCATGCACCAGCTTGGCATGATACTAACAGAATGTGTGCCCATAATGAATTGAATGAGACGCCCCGGAAGCTCGAAAAAATCTTTCGATTTGTAAGTGTATCAATTAATGTAATTTGTTACTTTAGATGCATAAATATTACGTCACTAGTCACGGATCAATTAATCTTTAGAAAACTGACTTTTATACTGCCGTAACTAAGTTTCAATAATATTTTTGCTCCATTCTTACTTACGCACTCAAAAATGTGAATGGTTCTAATGGAATTTATATATAACAAATAAGGTTTATGAAAACTTCCGGGACGATTAAATTTCTTACAATTCAAAATTTAAACTGTACTTCAAGAAATTTCTTAGAAACGTCAATCTCCGTTTAACAACAATCTTGAAAATTCCTGCTATCCTGATGTTAAGAAAGTCTCCTTTGAGTAAGAAGAAAAAAAAATTCAAATAGAAATAACCAAAAGATAAATAAATGAAAAATAAAAATCAAAAAATGAACCAAATAGAAAAAATTAAAAAATTAAAATACAAAAAATAAAAAAAAACGATTAAAAGAATTCGAAAATATAAAAAATCAAAGTTCTTTACAACTATGGTATTTGGCATGGCTTAATATAGGATGTATCTATATGGGTTTATTGCTCGCATTTTTTTTTTGTTTAATTCTTGTATTTTTATTATATTTTATTTTTGTATTTTGGTATGTTTTATTTCATGATTTTCTTTCTTTTTTTTTTTGCGCTTGTAATTTTATTCTTTTTGAAAATTTAACATCAGGGAAAATATCATTTATATATTTTTTTTCAGTTTTTGTCTGAGCTTTTGTGTTCCGTATTTAAAAATAAAATGTTCTGCTTGAAAATGCCTTAGTTTTTATTCATTCACTCTTTTTATTCTTATAAGAAATTCTATTACGAAAATAATCATATCAACGGAATTGACCGTCCGATCAGTTACATCTGTAAATTAAAAAAGAATAATAGTAAAATTGTGTATGCCATTACAAAATTTTACAACGTATTTTCATTAAAAGTTACTTAGAGACTTACTATTAATTTTCACGAGTTGCATGAAATTTGACTTTGTAATAAAACTAAAAGCTTTCACGATGGTCAGGTCCCCTTACACAAATCCATTTTGAATTTATAGAAATTACTAAAATAGTAACTATTACTTGTCGATCAATGATTTACATCACACGATAACAAAACATTTTTGTAAAAGATATCAATCTTTAATAAAACTCCGTATTTTTATACTATTAAAGGAGTTCAAGAGGTATAAAATTGATTTAAGAAATTTATTATTGTCTACGGAGTTTTACAAATTCTAAAGAACCTTCCAATGAACACATTGAATTTCCCATATAAGGCATAGATCAACTATTGTAGGAAACACTTGTTAAAATTAGTGATACGGGCCGATGCCAAACGCTTGGGCCGACCCGGCCGACAAAATTACTCGGGCCGGTCGACCGGGCCG